TGCAATCTGCTGATAATCAGCAAAATGCCCGTCTCTTAGATATAAATAAATCTTATTAAATTGATTAGTTGCATAAAGCCTCTATAAGAAAAATTAAGAAAATTGGTCTGGGAAAACAGTGTATAGGCACGTGTGACTGACACAGGCTGATTAGGCCCAGTCTTGCACGTGCGTGGTCTGAGTTGGTATGGGACAGTGGACTGTATTGGTCTGTATGCTTGTACCAATTTAAACGTGCAACTATGTGAAATCAATGTGCATTTTGTAGTAGTTTACTAAGCCAATTGACATGGGGTATAACACGTGAATGTAACGGATGATTCAATGAAAATTTACGATCTTCTTTCTGATAGATATTATATCAAAGGACTTAATAGTAATTAGAGTATATATATCTAAAATTAACACAAGTGCATATATGTAAAATTTTGCAAGGAATCTTTTTCATTAAGACATCTAGTGCAGCTTTATAGGCAAAATTTTGTGATATTTCTTTTTCTTTAAAAAAAAATCTTTACAAACAATCTGCTTTTCTTTGAAGAATGAAATATCACAAAATTTCGCCTATAAAACTGCTCTGGGTGTCTTAATAAAAAAGATTCCTTGCAAAATTTTACATATATACACTTGCATTAATTTTAGATATATATACTCTAATTACTATTAAGTCCTTTGATATAATATCTATTAGAAAGAAGATCATAAATTTTCATTGAATAATCTGTTACATTTACATGCCATACCCCGTGTCAATTAGCTTAGTAAACTGCTACAAAACGCATGTTGATTTCACATAGTTGCACGTTTAAATTGGCACAAACACACAGACCAATGCAGTCCACTGTTCAGTGCAAACTCGGACCATGCATGTGCAAAGCACGATCCACTGTTCTGTGCCAACTCAGACCATGGATGTGCAACACCAGTCCCCTTTAGCTCGTGAAATTTTGCTGTGCCTATACACTGTTTTCCTAGACTACTTTTCTTATAGTGAACCTGGCTATGAAATTATCATCATTCAAAAGTGAAATAGCAATACTTGTACATGAGCTACTCTATAGTATTTATGTATAATATAAAGAATTTGACTCATTTATTACTGAAGATACTTGTAATATTCAAGGAATTACTTTAGAAAACATTGTAATGAAAGTTTAAAAACTACTTTTAATATTCTTGAAGAGTACCTTACATCTGCTAAGAAAAATTGTAATTACTTAGACTTCTAAAAAATATGATTTGCTGATATATATTATTCTGGGCTCTCAATAATGGCAAAAGACTATTTGATTATACAAGCAACAAGCATACCAAGTGAAGAAATATTTTTGATAGCAAAGAATACAATCAACTCAATACATAAATAGGTTGCTAAAAAAAATACTTTCGCAAGCCTCTGCTTAAAGACCTAGTATGATGTGAGTATTATTAACTATAATGAAGTTAATAATTAGATATAATTAATTGTATAAATTAATAAATAAATAATAGCAATAAATGCAATAAATATTATAATGCAATGTTAACATTTTAAATATAATTTATATATTTGCTTTAATAAATAGTTCAATAAACATACAAAGTTTTATATATTATAAATGTAATATATGTATTTGCTTTAATAAATAATAACAATAAATATGCAAAATTTTATATATTTTAAATGTAATTTATATATTTGCTTTAATAAATAGTACTAGCTATAAGCAGGTTTTATCAAATTGCTCACGCAAGTATATTTATTAGTACATATGTATAAACTGAGTTCAGAATGTAAATGCTCTGAAACAGTGTTCTAACGAGTTTTGAGCACAAGCTGACCAGTTGAAGCAGAATAACATCCCTACATAATACCATAAACATAGTGAAGTTCAGTGTATAGTTTATAGCAAACCAACTATTATATGAGAAAAGTGAGAACTCACAATCAGGTTATGATCAAGAATGTTATAACTGTTGCAGATATGATATTGCTATGATCAATGTATCATTATCAATAATTTAAAGTTCTTTTTAATAATTTTTCAAAATTGTATGAACATCTTAGTCTTAATCTTACTACTTAACAATAGAAACTAAACAAAATGATAAGCATCACTATGTAATTATAGTTATTTATAAAGAACTTCATACTCACAATAAAATAATATGAATATACTCACTCAATTAGTCAGATTAATGCAAATAAAATAAGTAAATGCTCACAAACTTGAATCACTTATTTTAATTAATTAACCAGTATTAATTTTTCAGTTAAAATTTACTGTTAGTAATACAGGCCAATGCCAAACACTTGGGCCAACCCAGCCAACAAAATTCTCAGCCCTGTCAACCGGGCTGACCATATTATTAAAAAATTTTTAGTCAAACCAAAATCACAAAACAGTCTTATAGAACGATTGTCTATTAGTAATTTCAGTAATTTTTTAGTAATTTTACTAAACAAATTACCATATCTCCAAAAATTCCCAACAACCACGCTCGTGGTTTATGTTGATTGACTGTCTACCATCTCAAAAATTTCTGACATTACACTATCTTTTCATTTTAGATTGCATTCCCAGTAATTTTGACCAATTAAAATTTAAGATCTGGTGTCAAAGCAAACACAAGAAAACCGTGTTATAGTTAGGGTTAGGATTTGAACTAGGGATGGCAACGGCTGGCTATTGTCAGCTTAGCCGACTGGCTATCTCGTGATATCTCGTGATCCAGTGATTCAAATTATATGATTTTAGTATCATTCAATTCGTCTCATTAAGACGAATCGAATGGTACTAAACCATCCAATTTGGGTCACTGGTTCACGAGATAGCCGGTCGGCTAAACCGACAATAGCCAGCCGTTACCCATCCCTAATTTGAACAATATGGCGCCAATTAGTAAACATCTTGAGGAACATTTTTAATTAGGCCGCAGAAGGCAGTTTCCGAATTAAACATTAGTGTTATTCTTATTTTTTGTAAAAAATTGTTTTGTTTCGATTCTTACATTGCACCCGACCCTGAAATTCGATTGATCAAAATAACAGGGGGTGAACAATTTTTTGTGGGAGATCTAGGGGCGTCTTTCTTTTCTTTGATTCTGACTAAATGCTGGTCGAATCTTTGATTAATTTGATAACTTAGCCAAAAGTTCTGGCAACTTACATCAATTATCTCAATAACTTACCATTTAATACCCTAACTTATCTTAGTCGGCCCGGTCGGCCCGTGAAGGTGTGGGTCGACCCTCCCGGCTGATGGGTCGAGGTCAGCCCATATCACTATTTACTGTGCAGACATCGTACAATTTGGAAACTTTTCTGTGCGGCAAATAAAGAAAACTATTAACAAGTATGCGCATTACTTAGATTTTTCTGTGCGGCATCCGCACATCCGTTCAAAAGAAATGTGCGCAAAAATTTGTTTTTGTGTGCAGCGAACAGTCCGCACAGCGAAAAATAATCACTATGTATAACTATTGATATTCTAAGTTTATTTAATTAAACCAATGGTGTTTATCGCTCAAACAA